ATATGTTTTATATTTAATATTGGCTTATGCCTGATTGTAAGCCGCCCTGAGCCCGCGTAGCGGGGAGGGCGGGGTATAAATTGAATCTATAAATAAAAAAGAGGTTCATAAATGTACATGCAATTCAAAATTTTATAAACAATTAATAGTGGAATGGGAAAAGGTGAAGGCTTTAGAAGTTAATCAAGTTCGGGAGCCAGTTTGGTGTAGTGGCTAAGTGCGCGGACTCTAATCTGGGAGAACCGGGTTTGATTCCCCACTCCTCCACTTGCACCTGGCTGGATGGCCTTGGACAAGCCATAACTCTGCCACAGCTGTTCTTGAAAAAGAGCAGTTTCTGTCAAGAGCTCTCTCAGCCCCACCTACCTCACAGGGTGTCTGTTGTGGGGAGGGGAAGGGAAAGGAGTTTGTAAGTCGCTCTAAGACACCTTTGGGTAGTGAAGGGCAGGGTATAAATCCAATCTCTTCTTCTTCTTCTTCTTCTAGACAAAGTGTATTAGAGATGAAAAGGGTAAGCTTTATTCTTCAACTTTTCACATAATTCAGCTCTTTGTTCAGTTTTACAGACTAGGAATAAGGCCCATTGTGGAAATAAATACAATGAGCGCTAGAAAGAGGCTCTGGGAGAGTGCCAAGGCAGTGGGCACTCAGAATCAATTTGCCATGGCAACCTTAGCAGGGTATAAGGACACAGAGTCCACCATTTTCTCCATGGGAATGGATCAATGCCATCTGGAGAGCAGTTGCAATTCTGAGTGATCTCCAGCCCCCACCTGGAGATTGGCAACAGTGGTTCCCCATTACAGAATGGCTGGTTTGAGGGCAGAGTCTATTGCATTGTACCTGTCTGAGGCCCCACTCCTCCTCAAACCTCACCCTCTCCAGGGTCCATCTCTCAAATCTCCAGGATTTTCCCTTCTGGAGTTGGCAACCCTATCTACTTCCCAGCCAAGCATCAACCTACATTCCCCCCTCATTGATCAGCTTTCCATTTCCCCCCCATCAGCAGCCGCCACGGTGCTCTGAAGCCCTGACTGCCACATATCTGTGGCAGTAATGGGGTGACTGCTGGCACCTTTTCCTATCATTTTTTGCCTTGTGGTATTCTTCTTTTTGTGTGATCTGTCTTTTTTGTGGTGTGGCATGATTGTGTTATTGGGTTTGTTTCTTTTGAAGGGGAAATGATGTGTTGTGAGGACACATTTTACCTCAGAATACAGCAGGTCCCATATGCAACTGACAGTTCCAACTGTCTCATGGGGGGGAGGGAGTTTGAGGTGCCGAATGGAGTGAAATCCAGTCAGCTTCCATTTGCAAATGGCCTTGAAACGCTGGCCCAATCAGAGAAGAGTGGCCTAGGCTGCAGTGGGTGGGAGAGAACTCAGGCAACACAGCCAGTGGATAGAGACACCTTGTGATTGACACATCACGGAGCCAACTGATTTTGGAGTGCATAGAATGTTGTGGGACGACTACTCAACTATATATAAAGAGAGATTGTATAGTTCTAACAATATTACTCCGGACCAAATTTTAGGCTTCTTTACATAACGGAGATGAGCACTGCAACCCTAGAGTCGGATTCGACTGGCTTTCGAGCAAGGGAACCTTTACCTTAACATAACACAAGATTTCTGTTAAAACTCTTTTTGGTTTCTCGAAAACCAATGACACTCTTGAAAGTTCAGGGAATCATCTGTAATTAAAAACAACAGTAACTCCCCAGGTCGGGATGGACTTCCAGTGGAATTTTATAAGAAGTTTAGTGACTTACTGGTTGCCCCTTTGACAGAAATCTTTAACTATATTTTAACTCAGGGAAAGATGCCCAATTCATGGAATTTTGCCAAAATTGTTGTAATTTCAAAAAAAGATAATGATCTAACAAATCCCAAAGCTTATTGCCCTATCTCTTTATTGAATAATGATCTTCTTTACATCACTTCTAGTATCCAGGATGAACAAGATTATAGGGGAATACATAGATTGGGATCAAGCAGGTTTTATCCCTAATAGACATCTGACAGATAATACTAGAAAAATAATTAATTGAATACAATATATCAAAGTCAAAAATATTTAATCTTCTTTATTATTACCTCTGGATCCGGAAAAGGCCTTTAACAGTGTGGGACTTCTTTATCTATCCTCATTAATCAAAAAGGTGGATTTTGGTGATAAATGTAGGGCCGCTATTGATTTCCTGTACTTGTCCCCTAAGGCCCATATATTTTTATTTATTTATTCTTATTTTTATTTACTTTACACTTGATATACCGCCCTAATCCCCGAAGGGGTCTCTGGGCGGTTCACATTCTGGTCGTTCTAGGAACTAATTTTTCCTATCTTGGGCCACATTGACGTTGGGGGTGGGACTGCCTACCAGCACCCTCGGTGGAATCTGCTTTCTCCTGCATCCTTTTTTTTTGGCTCGGCTTGATTAATAGCAATTACTCCAAAGATTAATAGCAATTACTCCAAAGATTTATTGATCTACAAAGCCACTAGACAAGGATACCCTTTATCTCCCATATTGTTTGCCCTAGACATTGAGCCCTTAGCCCAAGCCATCTGAGACAGTCCCTTCATTTAGGGCAGCCCTGTGAAAAATAAGCAAACCAAGTTGTCTCTTTGTGGATGACTTAGTTATCTATGTAACTAACACAAGACAATCGTTACCCAACATTGACCAGATTTTAGGAGATTTTGAAAAATGTTCAGGATTGAGAGTTAATCAGGATAAATCCCTAATATATCTGTTTATTTTAACACAAGATCAAATTTCCTATGTTAAGGGTAATTATAATTACCAGTGGGTCAAAACTGGCTGGCATTACCTAGGCTTGAAGATACCCTTGAATCTTCAAGGCTTATTTAAACACAGTTATTCAGAAATGAGTACGTTGCTAGCTAATATCATTACACATTGGAAAGATCTACCTTTGTCCTGGGTTGAAAGAATTTACATAATTTAAACTTTTGTCCTGCCAAACTTAATTTTTCTTTTTAAAGCTCTGCCTATTTAACTCAATAAGGAATGGCTTATTAAATGGCAGTGGTCTCTAAACTGCTTTATATGGCACAACAATTGCCACAGAGAAAATTTCAATAACCACCAGCATCCACTCAATAAGGGTAGCTTAGCCTACTCTGACGTACTATAAGGCACCAATCTTTTCCATTTTACCTAAAGTTTATAAACATACATATCAGACAGGTTGAAAATCAATAGAAAAAAGCTTCATTTATCCTAAAAAATTTCATAGTATACTTTGGTGTATACTTTGGTGTAAGTCCAGGGAGTCTCCAAAAGATATTATGCATAGGGACTTCTTGGTTTCCTTGCTAAAAACTTGAGATGAATATCAGATTCTCCTTGCTCCTCATCCCTCTATCATCTCAAGCTGGTTTCCTCCCAGCAATGGTAGTTCTTTTTTGTGGAAGAAGGTTGGCTCTTACTAGATTCATGAATGTTTCACATGATGGTATGTATGAAAAATTGAAGCTGGAAAAGAAATCCATACACCCAATCCCATGGTTTGATTTCTTTAATTGAAACATCTGATAGATTCTTCAAATATATGAAACAAACTCAAAAGACCACTTACTGAATTTGAATGGCTGATGTTTAATTATTTGCCTGGTCGGAAAGAATTTATTTCAAAGACAACTCACAACTGAGAAGCCTCTACAATATCAATTAGCATGGAATAGGTATTGTAGTCTTTGGAAAAAATATGGAAATCTCTTTAGAATACAATTGCTTGCATACAAAGTTATGACATGTTGGTACACCACCCCTTTGTGATTACATAGGATAAATAAACAAATTTCCCCTAAGTGTTGGGAAAGTTGTGGAGAGATAGGGGCTACAATACATTGTTGGTGGACACATCCATTGGTTGCACAATTTTGCAGGAAAGTTTTATGTCAAATTGAGTTAATGACTGGTTATCAGGTTCCTAATAAGCCTAAACTGATCTTTCTTGATCTATGGGACACTTCGGTAATACCAAAGAGTTGACAGGACTTATAATGATACTACTTGTAATGGCCAAATGGTTAGTAGCTTTGTATTGGAAAAGTCCACCTTGCCAATGATTGAAGATTGGTTTTTGAAAATTTGGGAAATATTTCTGATGGACCAAACTAGTGACTTATTATCTCTTTCAGACCCATACTAAGGATTTCCAACATGCTGAATAAATGGCTCCCTTTCTTAGAATATACTGCCGATAACGCTATTTCCCAAAGATATTTTGCCAATCCATTATATAACGATATCTTGACAACTGTTTAACTTACTGTGTTTCTTATATTACATTATTATGCAATGTTTCTTTTAAATAGTTATTTTGTTGGCTAAAAGATTTCCTTTTCTAGTTACTTAGTTATACCTGTATTTGTTTGTATTTAAGTTATTAATATAATTAATATATGTCAGTCTGATGTATATTCTTGTATATTTTAGAATGTTTAATAAAGAATATTGAAAATTTATTTATTTAAAGATTTTTATTCCACCCTCCCCAAGCAGGGTCAGGGCAGATCACAATAAACCGAGTTCAAGACTTGTTACAGTAAAATACATTAAAAACATTAAAATAATAAACAATAACATCACATAAGCAACAATTTCATATAAATCTGTTAGGGCCACAAGGTGGAATGTGTTGGGAACTAGAGCAAGGAGGCCAACTGAGATGGACACCCATCCACGTCAAAAAAAATGTTTCTTCCATGTGGGTTCTTAGGTCCTGTTGAAGATGGCAACTCAAACTGAATCTCTATCCACTCACTGAGTATTCAAAGGGTTTCTCCCCTTTGTGGGTTGTCAGATGCTGTTGAAAATTGTCACTCAACCTTAATCTCTTTCCACCCTCTGAGCATTCAAAAGGATTCTCACCTGTGTGGGTTCTTTGGTGCAGCTGAAGACTGTAAGTGTTACTGAATTTCCTTCCACACATTGAGCATTCAAAAGGTTTCTCCCCTTTGTGGGTTCTCTGATGCCGCTGAAGATTGCCACTCGAACTGAATTTCTTTCCACACTCTGAGCATTTGAAAGGTTTCTCCCCTGTGTGGGTTCTCTGATGCCGTTGAAGATGGCCATTCCGACTGAATGTCTTTCCACACACTGAGCATTCAAAAGGTTTCTCCCCTGTGTGGGTTCTTTGATGCAGTTGAAGACGGCCACTCCAACTGAATTTCTTTCCACACACTGAGCATTCAAAAGGTTTCTCCCCTGTGTGGGTTCTTTGATGCTGCTGAAGATGGCCATTCTGAGTGAATCTCTTTCCACACACTGAACATACAAAAGGTTTCTCCCCTGTGTGGGTTGTTTGGTGCAGTTGAAGAGTGCCACTCTGACTGAATCTCTTTCCACACTCTGAGCATTCAAAAGGTTTCTCCCCCGTGTGGGTTCTTTGATGAAGTTGAAGATTGCCACTCTGACTGAATCTCTTTCCACACACTGAGCATTCAAAAGGTTTTTCCCCTGTGTGGGTTATTTGGTGCAGTTGAAGACTGCTACTATGACTGAATCGCTTTCCACACTCTAAGCATTCAAAAGGTTTCTCCCCTGTGTGGGTTCTTTGGTGCAGTTGGAGATGGCCACTCTGACTGAATCTCTTTCCACACTCTGAGCATTCAAAAGGTTTCTCCCCTGTGTGAGTTCTTTGGTGCTGCTGAAGAGTGCGACTGTTGTTGAATCTTTTTCCACACTCTGAGCATTCAAAAGGTTTCTCCCCTGTGTGGATTGCTTGGTGCAGTTGAAGAGTGCCACTGTGACTGAATCTCTTTCCACACTCTGAACATTCAAAAGGTTTCTCCCCTGTGTGGGTTCTCTGATGCTGTTTAAGATGGCCACTCCGACTGAATCTCTTTCCACACACAGAACATTCAAAAGGTTTCTCCCCTGTGTGGGTTCTTTGATGCAGTTGAAGACGGCCACTCCAACTGAATTTCTTTCCACACACTGAGCATTCAAAAGGTTTCTCCCCTGTGTGGGTTCTTTGATGCAGTTGAAGACGGCCACTCCAAATCTTTTTCCACACTCTGAGCATTCAAAAGGTTTCTCACCTGTGTGGGTCCTTTGGTGCCGTTGAAGATGGCCACTCTGACTGAATCGCTTCCCACACAGTGAGCATTCAAAACGTTTCTCCCCTGTGTGGATTGCTTGGTGCAGTTGAAGAGTGCCACTGTGACTGAATCTCTTTCCACACTCTGAACATTCAAAAGGTTTCTCCCCTGTGTGGGTTCTCTGATGCTGTTTAAGATGGCCACTCCGACTGAATCTCTTTCCACACACAGAACATTCAAAAGGTTTCTCCCCTGTGTGGGTTCTTTGGTGCAGTTGAAGAGTGCCACTGTGACTGAATCGCTTTCCACACTCTGAGCATTCAAAAGGTTTCTCCCCTGTGTGGGTTCTCTGATGCTGTTGAAGATGGTCACTCCGACTGAATCTCTTCCCACACACTGAGCATTCAAAAGGTTTCTCCCCTGTGTGGGTTGTTTGGTGCAGTTGAAGAGTGCCACTGTGACTGAATCGCTTTCCGCACACTGAACAATCAAAAGGTTTCTCTTCTGTGTGGGTTCTCTGATGCCGTTGTAGATTCCCCCTCATACTGAATCTTTTCCCACACACTGAGCATTCAAAAGGTTTCTCCCCTGTGTGGGTTCTTTGGTGCTGCTGAACATAGCCACTCTGACTGAATCTCTTTCCACACACTGAACATTGGAAAGGTTTCTCCCCTGTGAGGTTTCTCAGATGCTTCTGAAGATTCCCTCTCTCACTGAATCTCTTTCCACATACTGAACAATCAAAAGGTTTCTCCTCTGTGTGGATTCTCTGGTGCCGTTGAAGATTCCTCCTTATACTGAATCTCTTTCCGCACTCTGAGCATTCCAAAGGTTTGTCGCCTGTGTGTATTCTTTGGTGCACAAGGAGCTGTGATCTATTTCTGAAGTACTGTCCACACTGAATGGATTCACTTGCCTTCGTTATCCTGTGCTTTGGAAAATGTACATGATGTTTTCTTCCATCTCGCTTCTCAATCATATGGCTGCCTTTTTTTCTCTTAGGTCTGCCTCGATTCCTGTTTTCTTTCAGGTCTTCATTTTTAACTCTATCTTTCACATGCTGATGAAGTTCCTCACCCTCCTCATTCCTCTGATCATCCTTTGCTGGAATAAATACAGAGATCTTGTTAGCACCTGGGTGGACTGGTAAGGTCCAAAGGCATCTATGTGAATGAGTAGGAAAGGACTGATGGCCCTTTGGCTTTGTCCAGCTAGGCTGATCTTTACTACCTCTCCATCTTTTCTCGGAATATCTAGTATTTGATACCTCACCCCCCTCAAGAGCCACAGCTGAACTCTTGCCTAGAAAGAGAAAGCCTCCCTCCCTCCTTACCCAGTGTGCTGTATGATTGTACCAAACCAAATATTGCTCAGACTTGAATCAGAAATTCCCAATGACTATTCCTTGCCTGTTCTCTTGACATAACCATGAAGAATACTCACTCTCAGCCAGCATATTTGGGAAGGAAATATGCTCTTGGGATCCTGTGGAGGAACTCTCCAGCCTCTCTTTGAATGCACCAGCATAGTCTGCCTCCACCATAGTCTCTCTTATACTTCTGGCTCCTTTTGCAGAGAGAGAAAGAGAGAATAAAAGAGAGACAAAGACAGAGGAAGTAATCATTCTTACGTGGGGAGGGAAAGTAATTCAAGAGTAAAAATTCTTCTGGAAGGACGAAATCATGCTCAAGAATCAAACCCCACAATCCCAACCAGTATAAGCGGAAGGAATCTGTGAGGCAAAGCACCCTAGTTCCCCCAAGGGTTAATGTGATTACTAAGTGGCCTGGTCCGACTTGCAGGTGTTTGTGATTTTAGTCTCCCTGCAGTTAACATCCTTATCTTTTTCATGGACGGACTCCAGAATGTGGTCAATGGTTAATCATGAGAACCTGTATCCAGTTGTGTAACCAGGAGGGAAGAAGGATTAGGAAGGTGCTGACAGCCTGTGGAAAATTCCATCAAGAAGGACCCTTGACTGGGTCGTTAGGACCACCTGACCCTAGAGGGGCAGAACGTATAAGAAGCGTATTGATAGACCAGAGGGAAGCCAACCTAACCTTATGTTCATGCCATGCTAGTACACCTTGATTTCTTATCGCTTCATCACGATGAATAGTTTTATGTAGAGTAGCTTTGGCTACAGCTGGAATATTTATGCTGCGACAAGAGGTGCCATCTAATACCAAGCATTTCAGGTATTAGTTAGAACAGTTAACTTTTCTTGTTTATCTGTTGCTAAACTGCAGAAACTGTGCTATTTATTGATGTCTTATTTTAAAATCCTTAATAAACCTTTATTTCTATTTTAAAAGGTCTGCTTTATTTGTGTGCACTCTCCTCGTGAACCCTCTGAACTGGGTGCTGTTCAGGTAAAAAGACTAGCAACCCAGGGGGACCCAGGCTTCGATTCTTGACAGAATCATTTCCAGATCACAGGCAGGGTAGATGTTTGCAATCCCATCCACTGTTTCTGCTCAGCTGAGTTAGTGTGAGCTAGCTCACAGGTTTTTAGCCTCCGGCTCAAACTTTTTTGTCTTAGCTCAGGAAGGGATGGCTCCTGAGCAAACTAATCTATGCAGGTGCCAAATTGCTGGCTCACAACTTTAATGCCAGTAGCTCATAAAGTAGAATTTTTGCTCACAAGACTCCACAGCTTAGAGGGAGCACTGATCCTATCCAGGGGGAACGGTGTGCGGTAAAAGCTGGCAACAGAGAAATGAGAATCTGACCCATGCCAGGTTCCTTCTAAGGGCCTCTCATCTCCTTTGGCTCAGGCCAGGACATCTTCTCTGGCTTGGATGGTGGTCACAACACTGGCCTCAGTTGCCCTTGTGCAAGTAAAAAGGTAAAGGTTTCCCTTGCTCGAAAGCCAGTCGAGTCCAACTCTAGGGTTGCAGTGCTCATCTCCGTTTCAAAGCCGAAGAGCCAGCGCTGTCCGAAGACGTTTCCATGGTCATGTGGCCGGCATGACTAAACACCGAGGCCCACGGAATGCTGTTACCTTCCCATCGAAGTGGTACCTATTTATCTACTCGCAATTTCTTGCTTTCGAACTGCTAGGTTGGCAGGAGCTGGGGCCAGAGACGGGAGCTCACTCCGTCATGCGGCACCCGGGTCTCGAACTGCTGAACTACCGACCTCCCACAGCCTGCAGGTCAGCGTCTTAACCACTTGAGCCACCGCAGCTCCTTCTTGTGCAAGTACACACACATAAAACATAAAGCTGCCTTACACTGAATCAGACCCTTGGTCCATTGAAGTCAGGGTTATCTACTCAGTTTGGCAGTGGCTCTCCAGGGTCTTTCACATCACGTCCTACCTGATCCTTTTTAACGGGAGATGCTGGGGACTGAACCTGGGACCTTCTGTATGCCAAGCAGATGCTCTGCAAGTGAGCCACAGCCCATCCTCAAGTATTAGGAAAGGCTTGAAAACTGTGTGTTGCTATTAAATATTTTGATTCATGCCTCATCCCAATGGTAGCAATTTGTACCTTTGGCACCTATGAAAGCTCCTTACCCAGAAAGGCCACATTCCCATAGTTCTCCAGCATGACTTCCCTGTGCAGAGCTCTTTGTCCCGGATCCAGCAGGGCCCATTCTGCCTCAGTGAAACAGATGGACACCTCCTCAAAGGAAAAGGGACACTAAAAGAAAAAGCAGATTCCCTCATCAGAGATCACGCCAGACAGAGATTGCACACTGGAAGGGAGTAGTCTGGGAAGGTACAAGATGGAAGGCTTGGGATGGGTAAGGGGAACAGCATTCAGAGGATCTCTCGCCTGGACACCTTGTAGAAACCACAGGAACAAAAGCCCCCCTGAGAAAGAAGGAGGGACCCAGGCTGTCCCCTGCTCATCTCTCCTACCTGGACTGGAGGTGCAGCAGCCGTTTCCACACCTCTGAAAAGACAAGGGCTCAACAGCATCTCTTCACTGCCTGTTACTGAGACAAAGGAGGAAGGAAGGGTGTATGCTTGTTTCTTCCCTGCTTCACACACGCCCTTCCCAGGGTTGTGAAACCTTGACCTCTGTACACTCAACACATTTTTAAACACTGTATTAAATTCCGGGAGAGGCAGAAGCACCAGATACCTATGAGCCACAGGGATGATAAATGCCGCCAACATATTTCAGACTTCTATGAGACCAGTGTCTAGCCTGGGGGCAGGGGAAAAGGGGGGTAGAAATGACATTGCATGACATGGCCCAGACATGTCTTGAGCACATGTGGAGACTCGAGGGTAACATGAATGAGTTTTCAGAGCATCTCTTGGCATTCTAACTTCACAACGATGTTTTCAGCAAGTTGCAACATCAGCATGACACCTCATCTGCCCAAAGCCCATCCCAAAAGCTCCTGGGGGTGTCGCGCCATACATAGCCTGCCATCCCTCCTCCAGCATCCTGTTTCCCACAGCAGCCCGCCAGAGGCCTCTTTAAGCATGGGCAGAGAAGCCACATTTCCCCATGATTATTGGCCCCTCGGAACTGGTTTTCAGGTCTCTGCTGCCCCAGAAGATGGAGGCTCCGTTGATTCACCAGGCTGAATAGCTCTTCTGAGGTTTCTCCACCTCTTCTCTTTTCAGCTACATTGTGTTCCTCTTATGGAAGGAAGGTGAGATATTAATATTTAAATTAATGGGAGGAATTGCCTTCCATGAATTTGTCTAATCTTTTGGCATCTGTGATGGATTGCAAAGAAAAGCAGGCTTTTTAAAACGCTTCTTGTGTCAGGGAGTTCAAGTGTTAATTTCCCTGGAGAGAAGGGCTTATGTGATTGGCTGCTCTACTCGCTCTCTGACTGGCCAGCATCAGCTTAGAGAGGAAATAAAACAGCTATCTTGAGGGGAAAAGATTCATTCACCTTTTGGTCTTTGTCTGAAATCTAATGTCTGGATCAGTAGCCAAAGGGTTTGGCTTCTGAGGGAAGAGACTTTGGGAGTCAGTGATTTCTGTCAGGGAACTGTCAGAAAAGTACTTGTATAGAGAGAAGAATAAGGACCCCATTGTCTTCAATATATTAGAACTACTCTGAGAGATAATTTAGATTCTCAGTCATGAAAGCTACAGAACAGCTTTATACAGACAACGGATATTGGAGAAGGATTTGGCAGAAGGTCTGGGTAGTTAGAGAGAACTCCCACACAAGACAAATAATAGAAGGCGTTATTGCTTCTTAGGGACAAGGAGAATAACGTCCTGCCAGTGAAAGGGGTTGGGAAGGGAACCCTGGTCTGTAATAAAGACAAGAAGCTTAGACACCGCAGGAGTTAGTGAAAAACTGTAATATCTGAAGGGAAGACCTAGATCTCTGAAGGGAGAAATCTGGAAATGCTAAGACAAAGCTATTGTTTAAGAAACTGTATTCAAGATACTGTGTAACAGCTGAAATACATAATAAGCAAAAACCTCTCACTGGAAAGAACTTGAAACTCAGAAATTAAGCTTCAACATCACTCTCTTGTATGTTTCAAAGGCCTCCATTATGTATATATTAGAAAGTTTTATCTCAGCAACCTCTATCCCTTGAATCCTCATATTTATGTATTCCCTGCCTGTTTAATAAAACCTTTATTCTGTTTTTGAAAGTTAATCTGCCTCAAGTGCCGTTTCACACGGGTTTATAAAATAGGACAGCTCCTGTCTCTCCTTTAAATTCTTGTACTAGGTCTAAAGCCTAAACAAATATCTGTGACAGCGTGGGACAATTTAAGCTTATCAAACAAAGAAGAAATACACGCTACTGGAGGGCGACTCAGTTACTGAGGGGAACTAAAATATTTTTTGTGGGACAATTTTGCCTGTGTGTTGGGAAGGAGACAGGGGTCTGTCACGGCATCACAGTTAGTGGACACTGAGTGCTGCGAATTAATTCTGTGTTGTGTGAAGAAATATTTCATTTTTTTTCTGACCTGAACTCTCTACCCAAATTCACAGTGTGCCCCAATCACATCCAGGCACAACGAATCCTTACCACAGGACAGGTCAACTTGGGCCTGCTCCTGAGCCTGCTCCAGGGAAGCTTCTTCTGCCTCAGGGAATGTAGCTTCTGTCTTCACTGATGGTCCCCACACCTGAAACAGCAGCGAGGGAGAGGAGTAAGAGATGGAAGGGAAAAGAGACCAAGGAATGGATCCTGCCCCACTCCTAGATTCTGCACCCTTCTATCAGCGGACCTGGTGAGTTCTCTGGAGGGATAAGTCTGGCAGGGACCCTTTAGGATAAGGCCAGATATCGTTGCTTGAATTGGACATATCTGGAGGGAATCCCCTCACCTGTTCTGCCTGCCTCTTCTCCTCTGCTTGACTCAGGAGAAAACCTTCGGCCAGCGCCACTGCCTGGGAACTGGTCTCCGGCCCGCATCCTCTGACCCAGCACTGCATTTTGTGTGGCAAGATAGTCAGGAACTGCTCCAAGATCACCAGGTCCAATATTTGCTTCTTGGTGCACCTCTCTGGCTTCAGCCAGTCGCTGCAAAGCCCGTGAAGCTGGCTGCAAACCTCTCGGGGCCCATTAGCCTCACAGTAGCAGAACTGCCGGAAGCGCTGGCAATGTATATCTGAGATTGCAGTGAGTTGATAATGGATATCTGGCACCAGGCTTTCCCAGAATTCAACACCACACCCAGCTTGGGTGGGATGGAGGCCTTTCTTTGCTGACTCGCCATTTCCACGTCCTCCTGGGTTCTGCTCTTCCATCTCTTTCCCCTTCTCATGGATCACCTCTGACTGTGTAAAGATTCCTTTAGTCCCTTGGCTATGAAGAGAGGCTTCTCTCTGGAAGGAGGGAAAGAAACAGACAGTTACATGAAAATAAGAGAATAGAGATACACCATTGAACATCACAAAATTTCATATGCTCAGAAGACGAGACACACGAGAATTGCCCTGGTCAGGGGTCTTTTCATAGAAAAAGAGCTGCAGGAGCTCCTTAGCATAACTCATTACCAGTGTTCCCTCTAAGCTGAGTTAGTGTGAGCCAGCTCACAGTTTTTTAGCCTCTGGCTCACACATTTTTGTATTAGCTCAGGAAGGATGGCTCCAGAGCAGACTAATTTACGCAGTAGCCAAATCACTGGCTCACAACTTTAATGCCAGTGTCTCACAGAGTAGAATTTTTGCTCACAGGACTCCACAGCTTAGAGGGAACATTGCTCATTACCATATGTCACACACCCTGACATCACCGGAAGTGTGTCAGAAGGCCATTCTGGATAATACCAATGGAGGTAATTAAACCTTATCCGGCTTATAAAGGAGAAGACTGGCTACAATATAGAGACATTTTGAAACCAGCCCCGTTGCCAGAGCGATATGTAGTGTCATGTCCTGGCAATGGCGGTGCAACGCATCTCGCCGTCCCCCCGGCACGGATTCTGCAAAGACATGCGGATCCCCCGCTGCGATTTGGCGAGATTTGGGAGCCGTATGACTTGAGGAGCTAGAAGTATATAATTATAATATCCCTCCAGAGGCTTAATTACCTGTCTGAGACTACATGGACTCTATACTTGACAATTGCTGAAATCGTAGTCCATGCTTCTTAGAGGCCTTCACTTGGATGTACGTTTTGTGCCACCTAACAAGATTTCCAAAACAATGTTAGGGAGAGAAAAGCTAGCTTTGTTGTGTGGTATCCTGCATGACTTTGAGTAATCTGCTGGCTATCATCAAATGAACTTGTTTGTTCTTCTAATCAACTTTATAACTGTTTTTAAGATAACTTCTGACTGGTTACGTGTGTGCTCTTGCCCTGGGAACTCACTGGGTCAGCCTGTAGAACTTTTGACAACTTGTGTCTGTGGGGGGCTGATACCAGGGGGGTGTGCACACGTCAGCATGCTCCGCCCCTCTCTGCCTGTCAGAGGGGAGTCACCTCGTGCTGTGATTGGTGGGCACTGGTGGTGTTTCCATGAGCTTTGCTGGCATTCAGAGGTTCTCTGCACCCTCACAAAGGTGCTTCTTTTCCTCCCCTCTGCTGGGTGGGCCTTGGACACCAGCTGGCAGCCCCAGCCCCACACTAGGAACGCATCTGGGTCTCCGCTTCTGGCACTGTTCCCTCTAAGCTGAGTTAGTGTGAGCTAGCTCACCATTTTTTTAGCCTCCAGCTCACAGACTTTTGTCTTTTGACAGGAAGGGATGGCTCGAGAGCAAACCCATTTATGCAGCAGCCAAATTGCTCACTCACAACTTTAATGCTAGTAGCTCACAAAGTAGAATTTTTGCTCACAAGACTCAACAGCTTAGAGGGAGCACTGGTCTCCGGATGGGGCTGCCGTTGATTCCTATGCAGGCAGGAGCTCTCTTCCACCATGCCCCCCCTTTTACTCATCCAACTGAAAAAAGGCCTGGTTTTTGTTCGGGATTTTTTTGCAGATTAAAAAGACCAACAAAGCTTTACTCAAGGGATAAGAAGCAGGCACACTTCTTCAGATACAATGAAATGGAAATTACCAGTCCATTCACATAGGTACAGGGTGAGCAGTAAATTAGCATACAGCATAATGAAGATGTTTAACAGATTCAAGGACCAAACACATTTTGTTGGTCTTTGAGAAGCTACTGGACTCTTACTCTTTTCTGCTTCTACAGACAAATAGCTGCCCTGAGCCTGCCTCGGCGGAGAGGACAGGGTATAAATTAAATAAATCAAATCAAATTAAATCAAATCAATCTAATACAGCTACCTATCTTGATCTAGATTCATACATGTCCCTGCCACACGGCAGGAAAAAAACCGGGCAAACCAAAATAGAGACGCCACGGCGGGATCCCACGGATCCCCTGAGCCGCAGCGCCGTTGCTCCCCGGCACGATCAGATGCCGGGGAGGAAGCGACAGTCGGAAGGGGGAAGCTGCCGAACTGCGCATGTCTGAGCATGCGCAGTTCAGCCAGGAGCCGGGGACGCGCCGGCGATCCCACGGCCGGCCTTGATGCGCCCTTTCCCGAAGAACCACCTAGGTAGGTGGTTTATTTTTGATGCGGGATTTTGGGTGGAAGGGCCGGATCGGGAACGGGCGCGCCACGCTTCCCAGATGTTGCTGTGAGATCGCGCCCGTTTGCTGCGCCCCCGATCTGTCCCAGCCCAAAACCTCTCATGTGACCGGGGCAAGACATTATCACCCCCCAAAAAACACAAACACACAAATTCTGCTTACATAGCGGTGCAAAACTGGTGCCTAACAAGGTTGTCAACCTCCTGATGGGGCCTGAAGTTCTCCCAGAATTACAACCGACCTCCAGCTGACAGAGATCGTTCCCCTGGAGAAAACTGTCGCATTGGAGGGAGGATTCTATATGACATTGTTTCCCATCTCAGGTTCCTGTCCCCCGTCCCCCAAAATTGGACTTTCCCAGAATGCAACCCCCCAAATGTCCAGGGATTTGCCATCCGGGAGTTGGCGACCCTGTGACAACCGTGGCCGAGACTGATCCCAGTCTCCCTCCCTTCCAAGTAGGGCTGCCAAGTGGGGGCGGGGGGCGGGTAAACCCCCGCTTTGGAGGCCCGATTTCCGCCGCCGCGGAATTGGGCCCCGGGGGAACTCTACCCCCCAAAGCGTGGCGTGCCTGCGTCACCAGAGGTGACGCAACCACGTCTATCACGTTGGGGGTGTGGCCCCAATAGTCGGAGGGAAAACTCTATGGTTTTCCCTCCGACGATTGGGGCTACGCCCCCAACGTGATAGACGTAGCGCGTTACTTCCAGGATGTGCTGGCGGCGCGCACATGCGTGCGTCAGACAAGAGCTCCCGGAGACCTACGACGCTCCCCCACCGGTAAGTCGCTTAGACTTGGCAACCCTACTTCCAAGATCTCAAACCTTATCCCCCAATGACTCACTTCTAAGGGAACTTTCCCGCGATCCAGCTGCAAAGCTTTTCCCTACTGTCGCTTATCTGAAGCACCTTCCTTTTCTCTTTTAGAGCAAACCTTCCCTCCCCCAGCCAGAACTGCTGCACCCCTGTGATAACACAGCACTTTCTGAGAGGCAGGGGGGAAAAATAAAACTTGAAGGTAGAAAATGAATTCTGCAGTAAACAAAATCAACTGTATGGTTTGGACAGAAAAAAAACTCTCACATAGTCATAAGAACATAAGAACATAAGAGACGCCAATGTTGGATCAGGCCAAAGGCCCATCCAGTCCAACACTCTGTGTCACACAGTGGCCAGAAATACCAGTGCCATCAGGAGGTCCAGCAGTGGGGCCAGGACATTAGAAGCCCTCCCACTGTTGACCCCCCCCCAAGCACCAAGAAGACAGAGCATCACTTGCCCCAGAGCCCCTAGCTATACCTTGTGGCTAATAGCCACTGATGGACCTCTGCTCCATATGCTTATCTAATTCCCTTTTGAAGCCGTCCATGCTTGTAGCACCCACCACTTCCTGTGGCAGTGAATTCCATGTGTTAATCACTCTTTGGGTGAAGAAATACTTCCTTTTATCCGTTCTAACCCGACCGCTCTGCAGTTTCATGGAGTGCCCACGAGTTCTTGTATTGTGAGAAAGGGAGAAAAGTACCTCTTTCTTTACCTGCTCTTTCCCATGCATAATCTTATAAACCTCGATCATGTCACCCCTCAGTCGTCTTTTCTCCAAGCTAAAGAGCCCTAAGCGCTTTAACCTTTCCTCATAGGGAAAGTGTTCCAACCCTTTTATCATTCGAGTTGCCCTTTTCTGCACTTTTTCCAAAGCTATAATATCCTTTTTAAGGTGTGGTGCCCAGAACTGCACACAGTATTCCAAATGAGGTCTCACCATTGATTTATATAGGGGCATTATTATATTGGCTGATCTGTTTTCAATACCCTTCCTAATAATCCCCAGCATAGCATTGGCCTTCTTTATTGCAGTCACACACTGTCTCGACATTTTCAGTGAGTTATCCACTACAACTCCAAGATCTCTCTCTTGCTCAGTCTCTGCCAGTTCAGACCCCATCAATGTGTATTTATATTTAGGATTTTTGGCTCCAATGTGCATCACCTTGCACTTGGCCACATTGAACCCCATTTGCCATGTTGACGCCCACTCGCCCATCCTTGACAGATCCCCTTGGAGTGCCTCACAATCCTCACTGGTTTTCACCACCCTGAACAACTTTGTATCATCCGCAAATTTAGCCACTTCACTGCTTACTCCCATCTCCAAATCATTAATGAACAAGTTAAAAAGCAGTGGACCAAGTACTGATCCCTGCGGTACCCCACTGCTTACCACCCTCCACTGAGAAAATTGCCCACCTACACTCACTCTCTGTTTTCTATGAACTAGCCAGTTTTTGATCCATAAAAGGACTTGTCCTTCTATCCCATGATTTTTGAGCTTACTTAGGAGCCTTTGATGAGGAACTTTATCAAAAGCTTTCTGGAAGTCAAGGTAAATAATATCTATTGGATCCCCCTTGTCCACATGTTTGTTCACCCCCTCAAAGAACACTAACAGGTTAGTGAGACAAGATCTTCCCTTACAGAAACCGTGCTGAGTCTGCCTCAATAGGTTTTGTTCATCTATGTGCCTACTAATTCTTTCCTTAATAATGGTTTCCACCAATTTACCCGGTATCGACGTCAGACTGACTGGCCTGTAATTTCCCGGATCTCCTCTGGAACCCTTTTTAAAGATGGGAGTGACATTAGCTACCTTCCAATCCTCAGGAATGGAGGCAGATTTTAAGGAAAGATTACATATCTTTGTCAGGAGATCTACAAGTTCACATTTGAGTTCTTTCAGAACTCTCGGATGTATGCCATCTGGGCCTGGTGATTTTTCAGTTTTTAAGTTGTCTATCAGTTTTAGGACCTCCTCTCTCGTCACCTCAATCTGACTCAGGTCTTTCAACACCCCTCCTGAAATCAGTGGTTCTGGAGTGGGCAAGCACTTCTCATCTTCCACAGTGAAGACGGAGGCAAAAAATGCATTTAGCTTCTCAGCCATTTCCCTATCATCCTTCAATACTCCTTTTACCCCTTGGTCGTCCAAGGGCCCCACTGCCTCCCTGGCTGGTTTCCTGTTTCTAATGTATTTGAAGAAAGTTTTATTGTTGGTTTTTACGTGTTTTGCTATATGCTCCTCATATTCCCTTTTTGCCTGCCTGACCTCAGACTTGCATTTTATTTGCCATAGCCTGTGTTCCGTTTTATCAGCCTCACTGTGACTAGCTTTCCACTGCTTAAAGGAATTCTTTTTACTTTTTACAGCCTCCATTACTCTGTTTGTTAACCATGCAGGCTTTTTCCTATACCTGTTTGTGCCTTTCCTAACCTGCGGAATATATATTTTTTGAGCTTCTAGGATCGTAGTTTTAAATAGATCCCAAGCTTCCCCAATTGTTTTGACCCTTTCTACTTTTCCTTTCAGTTTCCTCCCCACGTGTCCCCTCATATCAGAGAAATTACCCCTTTTAAAGTTAAAAATGGTTGTGTGAGTCTTTTTGGCCAATTCTCTATTTGTACAAATGATGAACTCAACAACAGTAGATATGACTGTCATCGTATCTGGATATTAATTTAAACCTTATAGAACTGAAAAATTATT